GTCTTAAAGTAATGTAAAATCAATTTTAATATTTGGTATAAATTTTTATGCGCATACTTTAGTGCATATTTCGGAAGTTTTTCACGCATAAATGCCTACATATTTAAGGGATTATAAGGGCATAAAAATCCGGTCCCTAGTTATCAATTAGGCAATAACTTCCATTTTTTGTTGTCACTTTATACTGTGTCCAGCCTTACATGTCAAGAAAATAAAATATTATATACACTAAATGAAATGTAATACTAAGCTGCAAACATTATCAGAACTAATTTTGCCTGTGATTTTGTACAGGTGTCAAACTTTGTCTCGGACATAAGGGAGGAACACAGACTGAAGGTGTTTGAGAATAGGGTGCTGAGAATATTTGGACCGAAGAGGGATGAAGTGACAGGAGGATGGAGAAAACTGCTTAATGAGAAGCTTCATAACTTGTACTCTTTGAATTATGAAGGCAAGGAGGCTGAGCTGGGCAGGGTTCGTAGCATGAATGGGGGAATAGGAATTCATATAACATTCTGGGCAGAACACCAGAAGGAAAGAGACCTCTAGGAAGACATAGTGGGAGGATAATATTAAATTGGGTGTTAGGGAAACAGGGACCGCGTCTGTGGTCTAGTGGTCAGCGTTCCTGGTTACAGATCCAGAGGTTGGGGTTCGATTCTCAGCGCTACCACATTTTTTCTGAGAAATAGTGGACCTGGAACGGCGTCCACTCAGCCTTGTGATGACAACTGAGGAGCTATTTCAAGGAAATAATGGCTCTGGTCTAGAAAACCGAAATTAACGGCTGTGGGGATTCGTTGCGCTGATCACGCAACACACTCTTCCACAAAAGTTGGCACTAAACTTTGCCGACAAGCATCGGTCGGTATAGTTCGCTTGCGGATTAAAATCACGTTTTTTTCATTATTAGAGTTACAGGATGGGGTGGTATAAACTGAATTGACCTGTCTCAGGAAAGGGAGCAGTGGAGGGCTCTTGTTAACATTGTAGTGAACCTTCAGGTTCCATAAAATGCTAGGAAATTATTGAGTAGCTGCGTGACTAGCAGCTTCTCAAGAAAGACTCACCTCCATGGAGTTTGTTACTGGTAACTATCCAAGTCTTTTCCTGCCTCGTCTATTTACCTTCTATGTGGAACAGCCATCCTGTTTTGCTTCAGTTGAAGACAAACTGTACTCCATGAGGCAGAAAGTGGACAGGGTTCTGTGGTTACTAGAGTTTAAATCATACATTTGTGTTTGACGTACATATAATCAGGTGTGCCCAAACCACACAGCACTGACTTACACATCTGTGATGCATCAGGATGAAAATCTAAAAGATAGAGGGAGTGCCTTATAATAGAATGGGCCTCTATGCCACATGCTGTCCCAGGACAATGTTGAATGCTAAACAAAGTTTTTTTGAGAGAAGCCTTTGCATATCTGTTACTAAAAAAAGACTGTATAATTCTGATTGATATATTACTTAAAAATAACTCTGACTTGAATACTAGTATGATTTTGATGTCACTGGATGTTTTTACTTTCTATTTTTTTTTACAATTCATAATGATACAGTATATCCCAGACACTTGAAAGTACTGATTCCTTTCAATATTACACTCAAAATCAAATTCTACTTCTCACAGGTGTTTCCACTAATGACAAATCTGAAACAAAATTATGAGACTAAATTTGGTCTTCACAAATGTACTGCCACAAAACCTGGCCATGAGTTCTACATGAATAAGCTGGCCCAGTCCGCTTCATGTCAATGAGGTGGACTAGATAAAATCATAAAGAAGAATGAATGGGGGTGATATGAATCCAATTCAATCAAGTTGTTCAATTTCAATATAAATTCATGCAACCTTTGAATATTTGAGTATTTCCCTTATTCCTGAAGATTAATGGTTTTTGCATAGACCTATTATAACAAAATCACTTACACAGAAGAACAAAATATATAGAAATAAAAAACATTATAGCATTTATAAGGGTGGTGACTCATTCTTTCAAAGAAATGAGAAGCTTATCAAAGATACCAACAAGAACTAAATTTTGCAATACAGTGGAGTCCCATCATGTGCACATTTCACTTATGTGAATTCAACCACATAAGCTCACAAAAAATAAATGAAATAAATAAAAACTAGCACAGCACTACATAGCACAGGCAACTCTGCACCCCTTGCCACTCAATAAGCATATGCCTACATTGAGTGCAAGCCCTAACTCTGCCTCAGTTTCCATGCATCTCTCACAGTGTGTACATTTTGCCATGCTGAAAACGACTCTAGTGTGTTTGAATGCAGGTATTTTTCACACTGCATGGCCCCCAAAAGCTAGCCAGTTATTTTGTCTGGTGTTCAACTGAAGAAACAGTAATCTGTTCGAACCAGCTGCGTTTGTCTTATTAGAGGCGGTGGGTTCGTCTCAGACATGGCTGCAATGAATCCGGCATCCATGCCATTAAGATCTGAGAGACAGAAATTTGCCAAGTCGTAGATTTGAGGGGTCAGATAATTGCTAAGGTGATGAGCCAAGTGAATGATAAGGCTGTAGTGAAGGCTAAGAAGTCATTAAACTTACACCTCAAAGACACGAACCACAAACATGTACTTATTGACAGCAAGGTGTTGCAAGAAAAGGCCCTTAGCCATCATATGCAGCTAAAACTTCCCGCTTCTGATGAGAAGGAACTCAAAGCCAGACAAGATTGGTTTAAGAGTTTTATGAACCACTTCAACCTCAAAATCGTGCAGCTTGCTGGTGAATCTGCATCTACCAATGAAGAGGCAGTGAAAGACCACCCAGGAAAACTGAAGAAAATTGCAGAAGTATCTGGCTATCATCTGGCACAAGTTTTTAACGCCAACAAGACCTTGTTCTTCTAAAAAATGAAAGTCCAACCTTGCCCTTCAGATTTTGAAATATATATATATATATATATATTTCAAAATCTGAAGGGCAAGGTTGGACTTTCATTTTTTAGAAGAACAAGGTCTTGTTNAAGAACAAAGATCTCCTGCATTCTGGCAATCACATGGAAAGGCTTGGGTGATGGCAGCAGCATTTCTGGACTGCTTCCACCAGTGCTCAATTCCAGAGTTAAGCAGTACCTCAAAATGAAATTACTTGATTTTAAAGTGTTGCTGATCATAGGTAATGCTCCTGGCCACCATGAGACACTTCAGTTTCTTTATGTTGAAGTTGTCTTTCTCCCCCCCCCCCCCNCCCCGAACACCACCTTCATCCTCCAACCTCTCGTCCAAGGCCTGATTCACTGCTTCAAGGCCATGAACACACAGCACTATGGATATGGATCTCCATCTTGATGTGATGGACTTTTGGCAGTTCTAAATAGGCAATGGATGTAATGATGCCTGAAACGGTCATTGCATATTGATGAAACCTATGTAGTGAATGTTTGAATGATTTTAAGGGTTTCGTGACTACTGAAAATTGAGACGCATTATTCAGGTGGCCTGGCAAATGGAGTGTGCTGCCATTGCACACATACTTGAGGAAGAAACTGAAGAACTGAGGGCTACTAAGAAACACTGACTAACAAAGTTACAGGAACCGGTAAGATCATCTACATAACACAAAGAAGACAATAAATAGGAAAAGTCAGCAACATAGAATCTTCATAAATTTGCTGCAGTTATCGAAGCAGCAGAACACTGGAATGACCTATTTTGGACTATGACCCTTCTACAAGCTGCGCCACAGCTGAAGCGGTTAGTTGCTGGTTTCCAATCGCGGTAAACCGGGTTCGATCAAGTGGGATTTGTGGTGGACAAAGTGGCGCTGGGGCAGGTTTTCTCCAAGTACTTCGGTTTCCCCTGCCAATCTTCATTCCACTAACTGCTCCACAATCACCTTCACCTATCATCTGGGGCTGGTACAATAGGCCAGAATTGGACGCAGTACAAGGGACTTAGTCCCACGCCACTAGCAATTAAAAAAAAAAGACCCTTCTATGGTATGCAGCCTCAAAATCACATGTGGTATTCCAGATATTTTGAAACTATACCAAGAAATGTTTGAGCAGCTTAAAAGAAAACAGCAACATTTAGCAAATCACAATGTTTTTCACACACAGCAGATGAGCCTACACAATCAAATTCTCCAGCTGAACCAGAGCCAACCACTTTATCTATGACTTTCTCTGTCACCCAAGCCTGTACTGAGTTTCCTGAACTGATATAAGGCCCTATATATTCCTTGATAGTGCTGTCAGGGGAAGAGGAAAAATAAATCATTAAATATCCAAGATGAATGGTTCAATGTTTACCTTTCTCATTTTTTAATTCTTTTGCCTCTATCTGTTTCTTACGTATTTAAAAATAAAATTACTGTACATTTTACTTGTATTATGTACACATGTACAGATGTTCGGATATTTGGGAACTATAACAAATCAAAAGTGATTCAGAAGAAAATTAAGAGGAGACTGAATTTGGGTAATGCTTGCTATCATTCAATCCAGAACCTTTCGTCTTCTCATCTGCTGTCTAAAAACATAAAAATCAGAAGATACAATAGTATAATTTTGCCTGTGGTTCTGTATGGATGTGAAACTTGGTCTCTGACAATAAGGGAGGAATATAGCCTGGGGGTGTTTGAGAACGGGGTGTTGAAGAGAATATTTGGACAGAAGAGATGAAGTGATGGGAGGTTGTAGAAAACTAAATAACAAGGAGCTTTATAACTTGTACTCTTTGCCAAGTATACTTAAAATGATCAAGTCAAGGAGGATAAGATAGCAGGGCACGTAGCATGAATGGGTGAGAAGTGGAATGCATATAGAATATTGATGGGAAAGCCACAAGGAGAGAGACCACTAGAAAGGACAATACATAAGTGGGTGGATAATATTAAAAATTATCTTAAAGAGACAGGATGGGATGGTATGGATTGGATTCATGTGGCTCAGGATAGGGACTAGTGGAGGGCTCTTGTGAAAACGGTAATGAACTTCCAGGTTCCATAAAATGTTGAGAAATTCTTGAGTGGCTGAACAATTGGCAGCTTCTAAAGAAGGGCTCAGTTGCATGAGTGAGTGAGAGTGATTATGTACTCTTTATTATACTACATACATGTTACAGGGTATATAAAAAAGCATGTAATTCATGGGCAATTTAAGGGATTTTCAAGGGTAATTCTGACCATACACAATTTTGGGTTAATGCACTATCTTCAGAAATTACCCCCCAGTTAAGATGAGACTCCAGTGTATGTAAGAAATAACTCAGAGGGGAGCACTTCATAAATCTGACTACAAATAGAAAGCCGATATTTTCTATGCAGTACAAATTTATGTATAACAGATGGAAGAAAACCCCATAAATAATGTTACAACATTGCACTTTCACTGTTTAACACTGCAGACCATGTTTCAACATATTCTTCTAGACAGCTTGACAATATTTCTTCATTAAAGTTTGTATTTACAACTGTAGTTTTCTGCTATTATGTGCCATAAATAAGAGATAAGTACAAAAAGTGATAATATTACTTCAGGTGTACTTATGTGTATACTAAATTCATGACTCCTCAGTACTTCCTTAATCGCATGTAAAATGAAAACAACTGGGAACCCTGTCACTCTGCAAACAGCCTGTCATAACCTTATACAACCAAGTATCATAATAATACTTAACAGTAATTCGCTCTTGATGCTAACATACTTTGATAGGAGCATGACATCTAAGCAGATTCGGGCTCGGGGAAGCTGGTTACTGTCATGCATATGAAATGCCACTGAATAAAATTATTTGACAATAGATATTATTCACATAGTTCTTGTAAATATGGCAAATTCTGATCTAAGCAGTGATTCGCTTCTACCATTATGTATAAAAAATTAAAACGTTGCGCAAGTGGTATAATATGTTAACATTATAATACTGAAACGAAAAAGTATACCAACCAACTGAATCCAGCTTGTAGACAACACAATCAAGTGAGATTTATTATAACTGGGCTACACTTGAGAGAAGCAAAAAAGTGAAATTTATGTGCATGGTGCAAGAGGTTTAATTTATTTCAACCCTATCAATGCTACCATGTGGTGAACACTCATCCTCTACTTCTGGAATCACAGAGTCTTCTTCAATCCTCTGCCGTTCCAACAGAAGTTCACAGCGTTTCTACAAAAAAGATGAGAGTGCTAATATGTACAACCAGTCATCAGACTTCATCATATGTTAATTATTTTATTCTTTATATGACTGCAAATATGGCAATTTGATTTAGTAATGATCCATACTTGCTTTCTTCTAAAATTTTCTCCAGCTACTTCACCTCTGACTGCTCATTTCTGTGCGAGTAATCAACCTTCTTGTTACACAGAATAATAAAAGTTACATTTGAAGGGCATCAATGAAAAATAAATTTAAAATGACAAATGTCACCTAGAACATTTATATTGGACCCAGAAATTCAAAGTTTCAGCAGCCAAATTCACTTTTCACTAAAATGGACAGCACAAAGCAACTAAGTGCTGTCAAAAATTGGTCATGAAGAAAATTTCAGTCTGGTAGAGGGCTGGTGCCCACATGGAATTCATTCACTCATTCATTTATTCACATTCCATAAAATCCTTACATGGTTTAAACAACCGAACAGATACAGAAATCGTCAAGTAGTATGAACTCATCTTGCTTATAAATCAAGCAGTTGTCAATATGTTTGCAATATAAAACAATTTGGAAAGTTTACACAGTATCACAGTAATAAATATACAATATAAAGTAATGGTGATAAGTAATATGGATAATAATCAGATAAGAAGTATTATTACAGATAAAATGAAGTTACTTGGTCAGTTTCACATCATTCTTTCCATAAAATCCTTACACAGTTACACAACCAACAGATATAGAAATCGTCCAGTAGTATAAACGCATCTTGCTTATAAATCAAGCAGTTGTCAATATGTTTGTAATATAAATCAAATTAAAAAGTTAAATATATAAATTACCCTTTGCATATTCATATTCATATTCATATT